TTTTACTTGTGAGGATATCATTGGCTGTTGTGCATTTTTTAAAATATACTATTATTATGCCATGATGATATTATTTTAAAGATGATAAAACTGTATGAATTTAAGAGGTAATGTACCTATTTCTGTACCAGATATACTAACAGTAAGTGTATATGTGTTAGACCAAAACTGTATTTATTGGGCATGAGATCCACAAGAATTTATGAAGTGTCTTCTCTACTGTTATACAAATCTTATAATAGATAATTTATTAGGACTGAGTAAAATAATGGATTGCCATTTATACAGATTCTTCATTAGTCAGAGTCTATGATATGCTCAGAAATGGAAAACAATATAAACAATATTCTGTAACCCCAAAATCGTACGAGTAACTTTGAGATAACCAGTTTGTAATTCCATGTGGTATTTTCCCTCTTAGCTTAATGTCTTGAGATTCATCATTTTGTATTATATATCCATGGTTCCTTCTATTTTGTCATATGGTTAAATAGTTGAATCGTATCATTTAAAATGAAGTGGGTTTGCAGAATATAAATTATATGCTAACATTTCTAAAAATAGTTTATCATAAAATATTTATGAATGTCTAAAGAAGAGAGATAAAAGCATGTAATCTTAAAACTGAAAGATTTTCTCCATTACTCAATCTATTTATCCTAATAAGTAAAAGGTTAACTTATTTTGGAGAACTTTAGGTTTCAGGAATCTATTGGTTAGTGTGAGGTTATCAATTTACCCAACATCCATACTTTCAACTGAAAACATGGTACAGGAACCTGCTCCTTATCCGCAGTTTTGCTTTCCACAGTTTCAGTTACCCATGGCCAACAATAATCCAGAAATATTGAACAGAATATTAATATTAAATTCCAGAAATAAATAATTTGTAAGTTTCAAGATGTGTTGTTCTGTGTAGTGTGCTGAAATCTTGTACCATCTAGTTGCATCTGCCCAGGACTTGAATCGTCTTTTGTCTAGGGTATCCACAGTCTATTAATCTTTTCCACCTCCCCATTAGTCAGTAGCCATTTTTGTTATCAGATCAAACAATACTGTATCTATAGGGTTTGATACTATTTGCCTTTCAGGCATCCAGTTAGTGGTCTTGGAACATATCCCTCATGGATAAGGGGAAGTACTGTACTTTTTGTCCCCCACAGATAAGGGGAACAGCTGTACCTTCAAAAGCATCAGTCTAAGTGGCAGTAATAATTCAAGTTTTCGAACAGATTAAGGGAAATGGGCATTTAGTAATCCATTTGGCTGAGGTTTTCTTTTTAGTGACTATTTCAAAGAAACCACAGCTGATTTCCACTCATTCAGGACACATTCCAATATGTACCTACTGTACTCACTCAAGTGTTTTTGAATTTCTCTACTTGTTCTCACAACATGGTTATGAGAGATTGAGACCTAATTCCATTGAAAAGTCCCATGAT